GGGCAGTTTGCTCTGATTCTGGAATCTTAACCACCATCCCCTGTTGCCTCTCAGTAGTAAGTGCTTGCCCAGTATTTGCAATTACTACAGTAATCAATAAATGCTTGTTGAAATGTTTAACAAATCAATATTTGCCGAAGCACTTACTTATTATTTACTGCATCTCACTAAGTAACAAACCTTGTCACAGGTCACAAAAATGGACTCTCTTGCGTTCACGTTTTTTTCAAGCAACTTCTCAGATCTGGCCACCCAAAGTTTTAAGAAAACAAGAAGTATATTTGGGTAGACGATGTGAAAAAGGTTCCAATATACTATAATTATCATTTCTATGATTTGATTTTATAAGAATTTTAATTAAAATAACAGTATAAGATATGCTGCAAATGACTGACTTTAATAATGAATACAATACTACCTATTTTAAAATTTTTATTTAGGGGAAACTGGGGGGCTCAGTGGTTGAGCATCTGCCTTTGGCTCAGGGCGTGATCCCAGGGTCCTGGGATCGAGTCCCGATTTGGACTCCCTGCATGGAGCCTCTCCCTCCTCTCTCTCTCTCTCTCTCTCTGTATCTCTCATGAATAAATAAATAAAAATCTTTTTTAAAAAAATCATAAATCAAAAGATGTAACACCTACCTTGCATAGTTTGAGGTTTATGATTATTGTCCCTGAAATACACTAAACAAATCTTTTCCCTGAGTAAGCTGATCCCTCCAACCTAAGAGACTTAACCTGTTGCCATTTGGCACAGAGAAGAGGGATTATTCTATTGTTTTCTAACAAAATAACTTACTTTGTTTATAAAGCAAGACTTTGTTTTTCATGCAATCTTAAGAAAACTGATATAAGTGTACTCAGTTTTCTACGGCTTCGTTCCTTGCCTCATTTTCTGTTCTGATCCTTATTGTCATTCACCTGTTCCTAATTTCCATGATCTCGCTGTGTCTTTTATACGTGTAGGAACTGCCACACATTCCTGCTGGAATGAGGTGAGTGTAAATAAATGTCCTGTGAACCAAGTTACACAAGACGTTGTCGCTTGAATGGAACTTGCAAACAGGTCAGATTACTCTGACATTTATAACTTTACATCATTTACAGATTTCTGAGAATCTTCCTCAGTAGACTGACTATAAAAAAATGTTACTGTAGTAGGCTGAATAATGACTCCCCCCCCCCCCCCCCGCCAAAGGTATCAGGTCCCAATCCTCGGAGCCCGTAAATGTTACTTCACGTGGGAAAGGGGTCTTTGCAGAGGTGATTATTTAAGATCTTGGGATATGGAGAGTCTCCTGGATTACCCAGGTGGGCTCTAAATGAATCACAAGCACTCTTATAAAAGACAGAGGGAGATCTGATAGAGAAGGCAATGAGTCCCCCAAGGCCGAGGCTGCAGAGATGTGGCCGAGGAACACGGGAAGCCACCAGAACCTGGAAGACGCAAGGAATCCATTCTTAGAGCTTCCAGAGGAGCAAAGCCCTGCTGACAGTTTAACTGTGGTGCAGTGGTAGTGATCTTGGACTTCAGCCCTCAGAACGGTTGAGAATAAATTTCTATTGTTTTAAGCCACTACATTTGTAGTAATTTGGTAGAGCGGTCACAGGAAACTTATACAATTTTTTAAAAGTCATTTTTTAGAGAGAGAGGGGGCAGAAGAGGGAGAGAACCTCACAGCCCTGAGATCATGACCTGAGCTGAAATGAAGTCGGACGCTAAAGCAACTGAGTCACCTGGGTGCCCCGAAACTAACACAATTATTAATCTAAATATAGATCAGTGTTAAGTGGACAGAAAATTTTCCTTTTCACATTAAAGACACTAAGAAAGACACACACAAAGTTATTTCCTATTTCCTATTCCTAATGGAATACTGAACAGTAGTCTAAAAAGATCAGGAATTTTTATTTCAAAGGATTACCACAAGGTTTCGCAAAAATGCCACATTCCTAACCAAAGTTTCTAATATACCAAGTTTATTAATGCAAAATTCTCTCCTGCCAGGAAAGCAACTGGGAATGGTGGCCTCCTGTGGGCTCCTCATTCCACATTGTCCCTCAGGAACTTCTCATAGAGAATCATTCGGTGCATAGCCCTGCCTCTTATGTTTTCTGTTCTGTCAACTTCCGAGAATGTCTTCTTATTTTGCTGGAAGTAATCTATTATTTTACAAAGTCTTAAGAACATATTTGCAGAATTTCACTCATGGAAAAGTTTCTGAAAGAACCTGCTGCTGCACTTATCGGGCTATGCGTACAAACCATGCGGTCTTCTGGAAAGTACTAGGGAACATCCCAGGAGTAGTGCCAACTCAATCTCACTCAATTTTGCTTTTTCCTGGGTCAGGAGGCAACAAAACAAGCCACTCCCACACTGGATAATTCTAAAATAAACCGTGCCGATGATAGAAACTTGCACTTAGGAAACCATAGGAGTCTCTTTGAATCTAAGAGGCAATTCATTTGGCCAGAAACACGTGCCAAGTGGTAAGAACATTTTCCCCTCCGCATAAACCATTTTGTGAAAAGTTTTCTCAAAGAACCTAATAGGTCTACTTCTTAAATGACCCCCCCCCCCCGCAAAAAAAAAAAAAAAAGGCTGAAAATGAAGAACTCCAAGTACAGGGAAAATGAGGACTTAAGAGGCAAATATCATCCATCTGATTGTAAAAGTAGAGAATCAGAGTCAGCCTTGGTACCGTCATCCTACATAACTGTTCCAAGTTACCTGATTTTTCTCCCTAAGTCTTTCTTAAATCTGTTCTTTCTCCTCCTCCTGGCTGCCCATCACCCTAGCCCAAATCTCCCTAGGCAACTTCACTTGCCCTTTAAAACTTGGGCTCCCCACCCACTCAGATCCCACCCACTCCTAAGGGGAAGGGAAGAGTGGCCGAGGGGGTAGGGGACAGATAAATGGGGAGGTGGGTAAGTGGCAGGCTTTGAGTGGGAGTGGGGCACTCCCCGCATGTACCCCGCCTACCTGGTGGCACCAGGAATTCCCGCACCCTGCTGGCTTCCCCTCGGAAAAGGGGCCTGAGAACCTCATGGGACCCCAGGGCCGAAGCCACTCAACCAGCGTGAAGCCCAAAGAACAGACACTTTGAGGGCAAAGTAAACCATCTTCGCTGTTTTGATGCTCACCCACTGGGCCAGACTCAGGCTCTCACTGAGCCACGCGCCGCCTCCCTGGCATTGACACCGCGGCCACCTGACATTTTATTTATCAATAACTATCAAGTTCACGGCGGTCACTTCCTCTTCTATAAACCTCAGGAAGCAGGAGTCAAGTCTGTGTTTGCTCTCCCCAGCTCAGGACTCGGCAAAAGCAGAGAAAGCGCTGGAATATGTGTTAAGTCAACCTCCAAAGGCGAGCCACCCCATGACACCAGCAGGTCCCACCTGCAGCCTCGCTGTCTCCAACCTCAGTATAGAACCGATGACCCGGGAGGCCTCGAATCGGGCGCCCAGGCCCCGGAGATCCGCAAGTGACTGATCCCCGATGGACACTCTGCAACTCATTCTAATGTGTGGGGCAGGCTGCAAGCCCCAGGGTTATTGCACCTGCTTCAGCTCAGGACTGAAGGGCTCCAGCCCCGCCGCTGCCTCAACTTGATCCACAGCCCCCCACCCACCCCCACCCCGGGTTGAATTCTCCCTTCCTGGGGGGGTGGGGGATGGAGGGGGATGGAGGGGGGGATGGAGGGGATTGGAGGGGGGATGGAGGAGGGGATGGAGGGGGGATGGAGGGGGAGGGTCCTGGAAGCGGCAGCTCTGTGCGCAGGAACTTGGCTGATGGAACAAGCCGGGATGGTTCGGGATGGTTCGGGATGGTTCCGGATGGTTCGTCCTGTTCAGGCAACTGCAATCCTGGCAGCAAACCTGTTGGGTGGCTCCAGGCCCAGGTCCGGGCCCCGCCAAGTCCTTCCCATTCAGGAAGCTTCCGCCCCTAGAGGGCGAAGCACAGAGGATCCCGAACCTCTCTTGCCTTTATTTATTTTTTTATTTTTTTTATTTTGTAAATGGGCTTTTACTTCTTTTAAGAGCCTTCGCAGAACGGCTCGCGGTGCGGGCGGCGCGGCGCTGAGGGTCTCCGGCCCGAGGGGCGGCCTCGGCCCGGGTCCGCCGCGGGCCCCCCAGTGGCCGTCTCGCGCCCGCAGCCGCAGTCCGCCCACCTGTGCCCCTCTCTGCACCTGCCCCCTCCTCCCACAGGCCCGCGGGGGCTTCCGGGCTGGTGCCGCGGGGCTGCCCCCCCCGCCGCCGCCTCTGGCTGCTGCAGCGACCCCGGGGCGCGGGGGGGACCCCGACCTGGGCAATCCCGGCCCACGCGGCTCTCACTCGGAGGTCGGCGGCGGGCGACCCTCGCGGCGGCGCGGGGCGGAGGCGGGGGCAGTGCCGGTGACCCCGGGGCGGAGGGGGCGGCCTCGGGGCGGGGGGGGCGGCCTCGGGGCGGAGGGGGCGGCCTCGGGGCGGGGGGGGGCGGCCTCGGGGCGGGGGGGCGGCCTCGGGGCGGGAGGGGGGGACCCCGGGGCGGAGGGGGCGACCTCGGGGCGGGGGGTACCCCGGGGCGGGGGGGGGGCGACCCAAGGGCGGAGGGGGGACCCCGGGGCGGGGAGGGCCCTGGGGCGACCTCGGGGCAGGGGGGGCGATCCCGGGGCGGAGGGGGACCCCAGGGCGGAGGGGGACGACCTCGGGGCGGGGGGGGGAACCTGGGGGGCAGAGAGGACCTCGGCGCGGAGGGGGACCCCGGGCGGGTAGGACCCCGGGGTACGGGGGGACCCCGGGTCTCCGCGGAGCCTCCAGCCAACTTGGGCCGGGACGCTCCCCCGCTCCCCCCGCCCCCCCCCCCGAGGCCGGGGCCCCGTCGCCGACCCCGGACGCCGCACAACAGGTCCCGGGGCCGCGAGGCCGGGCGCGCTCTGCCAGCGGGGCCCCGGGTCGCCCCCAGCCCGGGGCGCGGGGCGCGGGCCGGCGCGGAGTTGCGGGCGCGGGGACACTCACCTCGAGCCTGCGCCTCCATCGTGGCCGCCTCCGAGTCCGCGGCGCGGGCGCTTCCCGAGGAGCCGGCGGCGGCGCCCGAGCCCAGGGAGCAGCTGGCCCCGCCGCGCCCGCCCGCCCCCGCCCCCGCCCTCCCCCTGCGCGCTCGCGGGCGCCCGCGTGGACCCGGTGGGGGCCGGCCCGGCGGTTCCCCGGCGCCCAGCCCGCCGCCCGGCCACGCGGGGAGCTCGGCGCCACCTGCCGGCCGCTCCGCGCGCGACACCGCCCGCGCCCACTCGGGCCCAGCCGCGCTCAGCCCTGCAGGTGCGCGCCCGCGACCCCGCGCCCGGGGCACCCCGCGCCGCCCGAGGCCCGGGCACCCCCACCTTCCCCGCGCCCCGGGCACCCCCCGCGCCTCCTGCTCCCCCCACGCTGCCCCCGCACCCCCCCCCCGCACCCTTGGCACTTTGCTCCCCCCGCGCCCCGGGCACCCCCGCCCCGGGTGGGAGCAGGAACCGTGTCTTTACAGCCCTGAGCTGTCACTCCCGGTAGGACAGACCGCGTCTGGCTCCTGGGACCCGCCGCGCCCCGTTTGTGTCCAGCGACCAACACGGAACCTTGTCTTCCGCGGCTTCTGCTCAGAGCGCCCTTGTCCATGTTCCGCGGACCCGCGGGCTCGGGGCGCAGGCCACGCGTTAGAACCGACCCCCGGGATCCGCGGGTGCCTCAGTGCTTGAGCTGCCCTCGGCCCAGGGCGTGACCCCGGGGTCCCGGGATCGAGTCCCGCATGGGGCTCCCTGCGTGGAGCCTGCTTCTCCCTCTGCCTGTGTCCCTGCCCCCCTCTCTCTCTCTGTGTGTGTCTCATGAATAAATAAATAAAATCTTTGAATATATATAGAGAAAGAGAAAAAAAAAAAAGAACTGACCCCCCAGGGAAACCTATTAAGCTGATTTAACTGAACAGCATTTCACAGGAGCCATTTTTCAAACAGCAAAATCAGCTCACTCCCCCCATAAAAGCACCAAAAAACGGTGTGCCTGTGGCCTGTGCGCCGTGGGGCTGAAGCAAGGGAGGGCTCTGCCCTGCGTGGCCCCAGCTGGCGGCTGTGCGGCCCAGGCCTGTGGCAGGCCGTGAAAGCTCTGCACGGATCTTACTGTCACCAATGAATCTTAATCATGAGGCAAATCCACAGATGTGGAGTCCGCACATACTAAGCATTAAGGCCGTGCGTATTTTCTAATTCGAAACCGATAAGCCGTTCCTGTAGGTCGATGAAGAAGCAGTCACATTTTCAGAGAAAAGACTGCACACTGGCAGCTGTGTTGCACGCCCGGCCTGGCAGTGTGAGCAGGACGCACGGCGGGGAAGAAGTGTCAGCTCACGTCTGGCCTTTTCAGGTCTTTCTTTGGGCCTCAGGAAGCTCTCTTCACATCTCCACAATCTCCATCTGTAAAACGAGAGGTAGTATTTATTGACCTTTGCTCTTGAATACTTTGCCTTTTTTTTTTTTTTTCAGATTTTTTTTCCCCCCATGAAATAGATCTTGAAGTCCGTCAGGGCTAAGAATGTGTCCTATACCAACCCCTCCCCGTTTCCTGCCGAAAAGTGTTGTGCAGATTCATAGCTCACAGAAGATTTATCGAGGTGCCTGGGTGGCTGGGTCAGGCAAGTGTCTGACTCTTGATTTTGGCCCAGGTCATGATCTCAGGGCTGAGAGATCGAGCCCCAAGAGGGGTTCTCTGCTGGCTGTGAAGCCTCCTCACAATTCTCTCTCCCTCTGCCCCCCCCACCCCCTCTCTTACTCTCTAGCTCACTCTCTCTAAAAAAAAAAAAAAAAAAAAAAGTGTATTGAATAAGCAACTCGCTAGTAGGTTCTATTTCCTCCATGCTCAAGTTACTGTGAAAGTACAGACTAATAGACACAGAGTCTTACATTTTTACTTGGAAAAAGGTACACTCATGACTTCATGGCACATGTATAAATATGTCATTGTCTTTCGTTTGTTAAAAAGCCTCTGGTTTGTAATGGTCGACACAAAAATCGCTCTACAGAACACCAAGCACAGGCTTCTGGTGATAGTGACCCTGGATGCAACAAGTAATCAGCACCACTGATTAAATCACTTTTAGGGTCCATCCGGTTGTTCTGGTCCTCTCTACCCTGGAAATTAAACACCAGGTTAGGATGACTTCCAATTGTGACGTGGAGCTTTTTCAAAAGCTTGGGTCACCTAACCTTCATCTAAGTTGGGAGTCATTTTTCTGATTCACCAGGTTGGAAGCTACTACCCGCTTAATGTCTTTTACCACGTTCATGATCATAACATATTGATAGTTGCTCAGAAATACTTATTGAATATATTCTCCATGCCAGGGACTGTGCTAGAGGCTAAGGGGATGGGTCAAGGACACGCTCCCTTTTCCCCAGGGCGCTCATGGTCTGGTGAGAAGGGGAGACAGATACCTTGGAATGCAGGGCCGGGTGGTGAGTGGTGAGCAGGAGGTCAGCCAGTGTGCTTGTAGGCGGTGAGCAAGTTCCCCCAACTCCGGCCCGTGGGGAGACGGAGGAAGGTGAGGATGTTTGCGCCAGCGGTGTCTCGAAGGATGAAAGAATGAACGGGTCGGGCCGTGCTAGCCCCCAAGTAATGGCTTAACCAAGGGACAGTATGGCTTGTCCTTCCATTTCCTTGTCACTCGTGATGGTGAATTTTCTTAACTCCCTTAAAACGTAGTGAAACAGCCATCCTGACTCTTGTTCCCGACCTCTGGTAGCTCTCCCACATGGAACACAGCGGGTGGGTGTTGGATTAAGCCAGTGACGTGCTGGCCTGCCCTTCCAGAATTGAATCTTTCTGCTGACTCGCTGGGGGGTCTCAAATGCCCAAAGGGAAGCCGTCTTCAGCAGTCCTTGCCTGATCCAGTTCTGGTCCCCTGTTGCCTAAGACGCTGGGGGGGGGGGGGGGCTTGGGCGGTGGAGGAGGAGGGAGGAAGAAAGGACAGATGGAGTGTGCCCCTCTGGCTCGTGCCCCTTACCACTTACTACTCTGGAGGAGAACGTGGGCTTCGGGGCGCCCTTTCTTAGACCTTTGCCCTGGAAATTACTTGCTGTGTAACCCGCAGCAAGCTTCTTAGCCTCTCTGTGCCTGGGCGTCTGCATTTTGCGGCAGGACGCTATATGAGCTGTTCATTGATACCTTCTTTCCCTCCCAGCCCCCTGGACCTCTGTGTTTCTAGAGCAGTGGTTCCCACTGTCTTGTGCACCGTCGCCACTTGAGGGGTTCCTACCCATTTCTAAGAGCCGGGCCTTGCTCCCCAGGTATTCTGATTTATTTTCTGAAAAGCTGTCTAGGTAATATTAATATGCTTCCAAGATTGAGAATGGCCATTTTAGAAAATGCCCACGGCGCAAAGATGAAAGGTACGAAATTCATAGCTTTTAAATTTAAAAAGTTGCCACCCAGCTCAACAGAAAATGATGAAAAAGAAATGTGAGCAAGCGGAGCAAGGACTTTTTTCCTTTTTTTTTTTTTTTTTTCTTTTTTCCCCTGCTCCCTGCTTCCAGGGAAGGGGGGGGGGGGGAAGAGAAGTTCGATGGAGAGTTTCGACCCGGCTGTGTCTTCCCTTCCCTTCCCTACACTCATCAGAGCAAGGAAGGCCGGCCTTGAAATCCGATGGCCACATAGTGTGAGAAGTGTTAGGAACAGAGTGGGTGTCACTTTGAACTTCCAACCCCCCCCCCAGTGGTATAGGAAGACCCCTCGGGGTCCCCGTGAGTGCCATGGGGGGTGTGAATATTGACTACTTCTTGAATATACCCAGTAAGTACTTCTGAACGTGCGCTGGGGGAGAGAGAACTAGCTAGTGAGCCACCATTCCCAGGAGATTGGAGAGACAGAGACTCTGCAAACGAAGGAAGCAGTGCAGCCAAATCCCCGTGGAAGGTTCTAGGGCTGCCCTGGGGAGAGGCAGGGGCTGTGGGGGGGCTCTGCGTGCCGGAGGAGCACTGGCGGCCCCTCGTCGTGCTGCCCCAGGCCTCAGGGGGGCTGCCCTGTGGCTCCCATGCTGGTCCACCTGCCAGGGCTTGGCCGTGGAAGCCACTGGAAATGAGCGGGTGTGGTCTTGCCAGGACCCCTGAAGCAAGGAGCCCAGAAGTGAACCTCAGAGGAGTGCGGCCTGAGGCCATCGGCCAGGGGCCACCGGGGATGGGGCAGCCTCACCCGCTGAAGTCTGGAGTCACTGAGCTGTGGGTCGTCCGGTCCGTCCCCACCGCACACTCTGCGAAGAGGAGCTGGTTCCTGGAAGACAGGAGGGCAAGCACATCAGACCAGCTTTTCCCCTATAACTCTCCAACACGGGGGGGTGGGGGGGGGTCCAAGCAGGGCTGAGAGGGGGGAGAAGAGGTTTACTTAGAGACTCAGAAGAAGAGAAGATCATGTACCAACATAGGAGCGCTCTGGTCGCCGCAGCTAACGGAGAGGAAGGAACCAGAACCAGCTGCCTGTAAAGGAGCCATCTCCAAGCCAGTTGAGGGAAAAGCACAAACATTTTGTGTTTATCCCTCAAAAACCTTGTTACCCCTCAATAAATCGCTTACGCCATATAAAATTCTTCGCAGAAACCTGTTGGACGCATCTGCTTTTTTCCAAGTTCCTCCAGGATTTCCGGAGACAGGCCCTGGAGCCCTAAGCTATGCGTGGACGCTCAGAGGATCCAGACGCTTCTTCTTCGCTATGAAGGGGCCTAGTATTTCGTCGTACTCTCCGGATCCTCCACACGTGAATACTAAAGCTCACTCCTGAGGCTTTTACAACTTTAAAATACAGACTCAGTTTTAAATAGCGATCTCTAAAACACCCCGAAACGTATTATTAGTTTTCTAAGATCTCAGCGCAGGGCTTGTCACCCGCAGCACGGCTGACACTTGGTGACCCACTTTTTTGGGTTGGAATTTGCATAGGAGCATCGTTGGTCTCCCCTCGCTAGATGCCAGCAGTGACTCCTCAGTGGTGACTACGGAGCGTGGCTCCAGAAGATGCCGAATTTCTCCTCCAAAGTCATCCCCAGAGGAGAACCATGGCTTCAACTCTCCCTTGAAGATGCAGAATCATCCTGAATAAAAGTGATTGCCCCG